CCCAGAACGCGAGAAGAAGGTTCTGATCTTTGACTTTTCGCATTCTGCCCATTTCTTCGACAGCAGACTCGGCGCTTGATAACCCGAGCTGGACTGAGCAGGTATAACGTACGGTAACGGCGGTACCGTGAGGGAGAGACAATTACGTTTCAACGGTGATATCGCCATGGACCCAAATCGTCATCCGCCGATCTTGCGATTGGTTACAGCGATATTTTTTAGTTATTTCATGGAAATCGAGTTATTAGTTGTGCCTTTTAACAGTTTTATTTTAAGATTTGTTTTTCATCTTTAAATAGATGATAAGACTTCTTGTTGCATCGGTCGATCTCCCCATATAGCCAGAGCCGTTATTCACATAACGTTTCATTAGGTCGGTGAAGGCGAACTTTTTCACGGTAATCTACAGGTAGATAAACGGTTGCAAGTAAGGAAAAAGGAAAGTTTACAACTGTTGGAATGTAGTCTTCCTTACACTTTTATGATGGGGCCGTTTCTGATGTTCTTTTATTCATAGCATCCATGTGGGGCGATGTTCTTCATTTCCCTGCGATCGATGTGCTTTGTTGCGAAGGTAGAGTCGATGGCATCTATGTGGAAACATTGTGTGTACTGTCCCGTTTCCTTTTGCTGGAGTGGCACTCATTGATCAACCTCAGAAGAAGAGCGAGTGACCTTAAACGGAGCTCGAACCCTGAACCGCTCGGTTCTGAGTCAGAAGCTGTACGACTGAGCTAGCCTTGACGTAGCTAACAATAGACAAACGGTTAGCTGTGATCTGACGTTCGTGTTGACTTGCTCATCATCGAGATTCTGGTTCCGCACTAAAAATCCGGTTTATGTTCTTGTTAATTTTCTGTTGTTAAACATTTAATGTTTGTACAAGCTTTTTCTTTACGTCACTCCACTGATATTCAATTTGTTTTGTTGCTCTTGTCAGCTGGTGGTTGCTGTAAAAAGCAACTGTTATTGTTGCAAAGCAACCTAACCTCCTTCGATGGGGGAGGGTCAGTGGTAGACTAAGAGTCATTTTTTCTGATCGAACTTTCCGAGTTCAACGATTTCCGACGCTTTTTGCAAAGTTAGATGTCAGAATAAATCTGCGGCTAGATGGCTAAGATACGTTGAACGCCTGGCATTGTGGTGCTTTTGAATCTAGTCCGGGAGCTTTACCGGTTAGTGGACAGTCAAGGGACCGTTGAAAAATTCTCCTACGCAAAACGAGCAATGTATCTGCCCCTCTCGCAAATCGAGGCAAATAGTGCATTGCGAAAATGAATGAATTACGGAAACAGAGGCAGTGATGAACTGAAAGACATTAGGATGGATTAGTTAAGCACGAGAGGTGCATAGAGGGCATCCATGATGGACTGTTAGTGAGAAAGCACAGCACAAATGCAAAATCGCTAGTTTGATAATCACAAGTCAGCATTTATGCTGATTATCATGCTAGAGAGTCGGCTTTCAGATGGGTCGCTGCGAATTACATCCTGAGGATGCGCTCGCTTTATAGCATGACCACATCTCTCTCCCATTTTTGTATGATCGTGTAATTCCAGCGTTGGGTGAATTTCGAACGTAGGAAAATTAGCGGTTAAGAGAAAATTTTTTCTTTTGCGCAATTCGAATCTGTCGTTCCGGAGTTCAAAACTGATCTTTCGCTACTGCGTTACCATGCCACTAAGGAAATCTATGATGGGATCAACGAAAAAGGCAGATCCTGGACAGAACGACCTGAAATTCAGCAAGCGAAATGGTTCAAATCAAATAAAGGAGGTCAGGAGAACAGGAAGCACATCAAGGAATGGGGAAGAATGAAAGACGGACAAATGCATTAAACTTTTCCAAATGACAACGGACCAATGATTCAGGAAAATTTTTCTAAACATTGCAAATTTGCTTCTTACTTTGACGACATCAGGTCATCGGGGCTTCGTGTGGCCAGGTTTTGCAGTCAAGCTTATAGATCAGTTTTCTGAACTACTAGATATACATAAATTGATTGTATTTGATATCCGCTTGTTGTTGATTTGCGCTTTGAATATACTGTCGTTTTTATTTTTTCTCTTATGAAAGAACTGCATATTCAGCTGAATAATATTCTTTTTGTTGACACACTGTAAATTATTAAAATGAGAATATAATCAGATTGTGATAGTGTGTTTACCTTCAGCTTCTCTTCTTGCCGTATTTGCGTTATCATATGTTATTTGTTTTTAATTCGAGCTTAATTGAAATTGTTTGGAAGGCTTTTGACTTCTGGCGTGGTCTCTTTTGTTGCGATATGTCCGTGCAACGCACAGGTCATTCTCTCCGTGTAATAGTGTTGGTATCGGGTAAGCGGAAGTGCGGGAAGGACTTTCTGTCCCAGACACTGAAGACACTGCTCGAACAACGGGCTCTGTCGGTTTGTATCGTGCACCTCAGCGCCCCCCTAAAGCGGCAGTACGCGGAGCTACACGGTCTGGACTTCGATCAGCTGCTGACCGCTTCCGACTACAAGGAAGTGCATCGACCGAACATGGTGAAGTGGAGCGAGGCGATTCGTGACAACGACCCTGGTTACTTCTGTAGGCTAGCAGTTGCCGAAGCGGTAGCAAAATCGGAGGAGAATGACTTCGCTGTGTGGATCGTTGCCGACTGTCGTCGGCCGTCGGACATCGTCTTTTTTGACACCATCCTTCCAGCGAAGAGCGACCGTATTCCGCCAACTATACTGAAGGTACGAGTGGCGGCGTCGGACGCCAGTCGCCGGGCTCGCGGATGGACATTCGTGGATGGAGTGGACAATGGTGCCACTGAATGCGCGTTGGATGCTTACGACCACTGGGATTTCTGTATCGAGAATGACCGCTCGTATACGCTTGACTTGAATCAGTTGGTTGCTGAGATCTGTCGTTGTTGTGCGACGCAATGAGTGCTTTGCAGTGTTTGACTTGTCATTTTTAATTTTCATAAATTTAGGCGCTTTTCTGCGCGCTTGCCGATTCACTGTCGATGGCCAATCCATTCGAGGAAGAGCCGAAGAGTTACGTGAGGCCAAGCAACAGCTCCTATTCGAACTTCTCCGCTTCTGACTCCAAACAGGGCATCTTCGATGACCTTAACTGTTACGAGCAACAGATCGAGTCTACGTTGCAGGAGTCGCTCGAAAGCACCGGAAGAAGTTTGAGGATCTTGCAGGAGTCAGAAGATATCGGAATCAATACTGCCACGGTAAGTCGTTTGCCCTCTCGCATGATTTGGAATGTAGGATCTATAGCGATTCATGCTACAAATCCCGTCTTTGAATAGTGTACGTTGATGATTTTAGGCATATTTTTCATTCCCTATGTAAATTTTACTAATTAACATAGAAACTAAAATTATATAGAATCCACTGGGAATATTGACTAGTGCTAGCACAATTTTAATAGAAAAATATTTTGCTTTACGATTAATAATATATATTCTACGGTTTTTTAAGTGGATGTTGTCTCTAAATTAAAGCCGTTAAGAATTAATTACGTTTGGATAAATTTTTTCGCTATTGTCAAAATAGCCTAGTGCGGAATCAGGTAAGGCGGAATCTCTATTAAATCTGTTGTAAAATTCGCATCTTACCTTGGCTCCTCCATCTTTCCTAGTGATCAGTATAAGATTAGATTATGGCTCAGATAGCAGCAGCAAGGAGGGCGCTTTCCTCCAGCTGTTCAAGCAGCTGTGAAAACGACGGGAGACTAGTCTGAAAACGAAGTGCCGAGTTCAGCAACCCGTCATCCGTTTCGTCCTCCTCTTTAGATGTGAGAGGTGGGCTCAGTACGATACCATTGTCAAACTAGCGAATTTCTTATTACAGTTCCATTGTGACGACTGTATGACGTCACGATGTCAAGGTATAGTATGCAATCACGAGTCTGAATTTGCATTATTGGCAGATGACCATCTGTATCAATGATTTGACTTCACCTATCATCATATTATCTATCAATAGAAAGCCCTCTGTCAGTGTAATGCGATGTCATTGTTAAAGAATGAAAATTCTGTTGCGAAAAGAGAGGCTTTATTACTTATCTCGGTGGGTTAATGCACAACTAGGAATTGACGCAGTGTTATAATACCAATCTAATAAAATTCTTTATATACTGAGGAAAATTAATTTTTGCTTTGTTTAATCATTATTCGATTTTGACTGTTTTATTCAGTTGATATTGACAGATTAAAATTTTATGAAACCAACTGTCAGTGCTATCATCCTTCCCTAGTTAACAGTTTGGTAGAATACAGTGATTGATACACAGTAAGAGTAGGTTAAAATTGCATAGACGAGTTGTCGGTTTCAGTCCATATACAAATCCACTGTTGTGACAAAAGTTAAACATTAAGCTCTGAGAAAGCTCTTTATTGAAATGTATAATAATGAAGTTGGTTACAAAGAAAACAGAAACAGACTTCTGAAATTTTCTTAAATTCATATTCTAGAGTGTTAATGTTAACGTTGTTATGTGTCAATTTATTGACCCATGTGTCTTAATTGTCACAGTGAAACTGTCATACGATTATCCCACCTTTGAAATTGATACTTGTGACAGGGGTTTCATATTCTCTTTACAAACAGCTTTCCAGCAAGGTATGAGGTGAGGTATCAAGTGAAGTAGTTTATACAGATGACCATCTGCTCATATATACTCAGACTCCACGGTGGAATCATGGATGAAATAAAATAAAAATCACCGATATTCGCAGTTGGACAACGGCATCGCTATATACTCGCAGGGAATTGTCATTACTATGTAACAAGATGGGGAGAATCATGCAGTTGATGACGCTGCGGACCACTGTCCAGTTGTACAAATTCAATGCAACGATCGCAGGACCAGGCATTGACAACAGCAGCCGGTCTACATCAAAACGGTTGTGCCTAAACGTCCCATTCCGACAAATTTCTGTTTCGATTAGACCAGTTTCGTCTGTTTTACCTATTAAACGCAATAGATTCAGCGAGTTTCATTATTTGGCTAGTAAAGGCTGGCAACTTCAGTCGAATCCTGCTTTCATAAATGTTGCAATTTATCTTGTTAAAAATGTTTCCAGTATAAATTTTCCATCGTGGTTAATGTCTCCCAGTACAAGAAGTTTCATTCACGATTGTTAATGAGAACTTATGCAAAAAAGAATAATTAATTTTTCTTTGTTAAAACCATAATTACTATACAGGTGATGATAATGAAAGAACAGGCAGATATGCGTACAAAGATGAATTGTTTCTTCTGCGACGCAGTAACTGGTTCACACAGTAA